CTGGAGGGCATTGTGGTTCCTGGGCCAGAGGTGGACATTTGCTCGGTGGTAGAAAAAAGGCTGGAACTGCTTGTTGGAGTTATAGATGTCACACTACTTGACGAAGCAGAAGCGGTGGTCATTGGCGGACTCGTCAGAGTCATGCTAGTCCCTGAAAAACCTGCAGAGGACACTGTGCCCTCTGGAGTTGGTGTTGTGGTTTTCGAAATGGAAAAAGTTACTTTGGCCTTTGCTGATGCCGTAGAAGGCACTGAACTCATTGGAGAGCTGGCTGCTTCTGACGTGACGGATACAGGTGTGGTGGCCTCTGGAGAAATAGTTAAGTGTTTTGTGGTGATAGGATGTGGAGTAGTGATTTCTGAAGAGGTAGTAGTCTTTATAGAGCTGGAGGTGATTGTGGTCTCTGGGGGAGAAGTGGCTGTTGGAGTTGTAGTGGTTTCCAACGTGGAGGTTTGTGCAGAAGTAGTTAAGTATTCCTTGGTCGTTGGAAGCTGAGTAGTCGTTTTTGTAGTACTACTACTAATTGAGGAGCTCTCTCGGGAAGAGCTGGAGTGCTTTGTGGTCTCTGGGCCAGAGGGGGACGTTTGCTCGGGGGTAGAAAGAAGGCTGGGACTGCTTGTGGGAGTTATAGATGTCACACTACTTGACGAAGCAGAAGCGGTGGTCATTGGCGGACTCGTCGGAGTCATGCTAGTCTCTGAAAAACCTGTAGAGGACACTGTGCCCTCTGGAGTTGGTGTTGTGGTTTTCGAAATGGAAGAAGTTACTTTGGCCTTTGCTGATGCCGTAGAAGGGACTGAACTCATTGGAGAGCTGGCTGCTTCTGACGTGACGGATACAGGTGTGGTGGCCTCTGGAGAAATACTTAAGTGTTTTGTCGTTATAGGATGTGGAGTAGTGGTTTCTGAAGAGGTAGTAGTCCTTATAGAGCTGGAAGTCATTGTGGTATCTGGGGGAGAAGTGGCTGTTGTTGTTGTAGTGGTTTCCAATGTGGAGGTTTGTGCAGAAGTAGTTAAGTATTCGTTGGTCGTTGGAAGCTGAGTAGTGGTTTTTGTAGTACTACTACTAAT